GGAGCTTTGGTGGGTACCTGGCCTCCAGCCGGGGTCAAACCACCACAGCTGCCTTGGTAATTATTTAATTTATATCTACTTTATTAATTTAATTAATGCTCAGGGCATTTGTGCATTGTTTTCATCAAACATTGCTTTATGGATGTTAAGCCAGGTGTGGTGGTGTTAAGGTGCTGTGGTTGGCAGTGCCAGCCCTCATGCTGGCCAGAGGGAGCCAGATGTTGTTGCTTGACATGCTAGCAGCCAAATTTCAGCAGTTTGAGGAGATTTTGTAAAGTAAGGAGTAGAGCATACTTTCACTGTTCACCCTCCTTTGCTGTGTCCTCTGGTTTTGTACTTTCTGTCAGGTAGTATTCATACTACCAGCCCCAAACTCTCAGTCTCAGTTGGGAGCCATGTCCCAAGAAATCATGAAATCAATTTCAATGTGCTAAGGGATTCAGTTTTGAGGTTTTTAACAGCACCTCTTGCACTGAGCATGTAGCTGCTGAATTCCGAGTCTCTGAGTGCACATCTGCAATGAAGTGCATTCCCCTATAATGAAATTTGTTGTGAGGTAAACAAAACTTTTCCCCAAAAAACTTTGTATTTTTTTAAACATCAGCTGAGGTTCATAACCGGTTCTGTGCAGATAGGTCCTAGGCTGTTATTGAAGTGTTCAGTAATGTGATATTTGTGGTATGTCTTTAAGAGATGATAACATTCTCTGTTCTGCAGATCAGTTATATGGCTCTACAATATATAAAGGGGGAAAACCTACAAAACTTCTTTAGAATTTAATGTTTCACCAGAGCCCATTTATGTACTTTTTTTTATTGAATGCCATCCTGGAATTTTAATGTGGGACTGGATATTGGTGATTTTTAGATACAAAGACCAGGACATACTGTAGAACAAACTTGAGCTTTCCTTATGTGCTGCTTGTGCTTATGCTTCTTATGCTTATGGAACCTGAGTATGTTAAAAGCTGAAAACTAGCAACATAAATTTCCTAAATGCCTTTAGAAAAGCAAGAACTCAACCACTACCAAGAGAAACATGAGTTTCTGAAGCTGGACAGCATTGCTTGGATTTCCTTTAAAGAAAAAAAAAAAAAAGAGAGCCAAATGCCTCAAATATGTAAGATAGAACTATACAGGAGTTAAGGGGAAGCTGCATAGGAAGCAAAGTAAAGCCCAAAATAAAGACCATGAATGGAAAACTAAAAATAACAAACAGGAAAGTGTGACACAGCTGCAAGGGCTCTGGTGCATTCTCCCCCAGCATTGTACCTTTCTTTTTTCAGGAACATACTAATATTGTGTTTGGATTTCAATGGCATTCCAATCCATTATTTGTTCTTCAAAAATAGATGTTTCTCATGTGAGGAAGAAAGATATTTTCAAGTAATATTCATAGGATTTCAGTTGTCCCAGTTTATCAAATAACACTTTTATTAGGCTCAGTGTTTGCAGAGCAGAAAGACTGCATCAGTTATGTCATTTCATGAAAAATTAATCTGTGTCTCCTTAGAATGGTGAAGATAGGGTCATACATAATCAACTGTTGCCCTTAATTTCAGTTGAATTTTTACTTAATAGCCTTCGAAAGGAGGAAGGGAGCTAGCACAGGAATCTGAGGTGCAGCCACTTTGGAAGCTCAGTGTATGGGAGGGGATCAGGGAGGATCAGGAGCATCACATCCTAATAAAGTTAAGGAAATCTCTATCTTTTTCTTCATCCAAACACAAATTTTTTTATACAGAGCATTTTGCGGGTTCTGAGAATCCTGCAGGAAGGCAGTGCAGGGGATATGGGGGTGCCAGGACTGTGGCTGGATCCCAGCCAGCATCTGCAATGAAGCCAGGCTCTCCAGGCGTGGATGCAACACAACCACCCAAACACAGCTGAGGCACCCAGCACATGCACAGGGGTCACTGGCAGCTGCTGCAGAGGATGGGTGGGAATACTTCAGCATTCAGAGGTCTTGCTGTATTAACATCTATTAGATTGCTAAATTCATGCATTCTGCAAAAATTAAGCCACACATCGAAGTTGTGCGTGGTCTGTGACCACCCAAGAGATAGATGGTGCCTATTTTGGAAGAACAAAAAAGCCGGAATGTACTGATCTTTCAGCCCCAGTTTCCTTGGACACTTATGAACACCAATAGAAACTACATTAAGACAAAGTGGAGATTGTGGTGCCTGTCAAATTATCAGTCCAACTTGCAAAATTCCTATTTTCGGCAGACGCAACAAAACCAGGAAATATTTACCAATTTTGCAGGTGTCAGGAAATATTTTCAAAGCACTGTTGTGACCTGACAGTCCATTTAAATAGATACCAAGCATGTACAGAGGTGATAATACATTTATTTTAATGTAAAATATATACTTTGGTATGTTTGCTTCAATATCTATGTCCAGCAGATCAGAGTGGCAAATTTATATTGTTAATTACACTCTAGTGATTAGGTAGTGATACATCTCACAATATTAGTTTGAATGTTTTATATAACAAAATCAGACATTAAAGTATGTTGAAGATATTTTGCACAGCTGGTGTTGATAAGGCTGTTTTTCATTAAAAGTCAATCTACGCTGGAAATATATTTATGACATTATTTGAATTGTGGGTGAAATATATCTGAATATATTTCAGGCTTCTCTATTCTGTGTATTTCGGACACCACTCTAAAACATTTGATGATATATTGTTTGAAATGTGATGGTGACTGCAACACCCTATAATACAGACTAAAATAGAAACTACGTTACAGAACACTTCTCATCAATGTAATTGCACATTAAATAAAAAATAAGAGTCTTTGCATATATTACCAGCTTACAGCTTAGTAGCTGAGAAAATAATTTCTACCTACTAGAAATGAGGCCTATTTGCCATATATAGTCATATTGAAAATAAACTAAAAACTAATTTAGATAGTAGATGACAGGAGAGAAGAACATCAATATTTAACTTTAATCTTGTGTGGGAACGAAAGGTCGGGTACAAAGAGAATGGCTAGAACACAGAGTTGGGTAAAGAAAGGAAAAAAGTCTAAAAAAAATCCACGTCTGCTAAGTAGGGAAAATGAGTTAAAGTGTACAGTGAAGAACCAGGAGAGATGTAGACAGAGAGGTAGAAAGATGAAAGGATGGAAAGTAAAGAAGAGGTTGGTGAAAAGCCCTTATTTCCATGAACCTCATTTCGTGTCCCTCGAGAGGCAATGTCCAAGGGCAAAGGAGTCCAGGAAGGCTGGACATCCTTCAGAAAGAAATCGAAGCGGCACAGGAGCAGTACACCCCTGTGTGCCAAAAGACAAGCCAGAAGGGAAGAATACCAGCCTGGCTGAACCAAGAGCTGCAGCTGAAACTCAAGAAAAAAAACAGGGTTTATGACTTTTGAAAGAAGGGGCAGACAACTCATGAGGACTGCAAGGATGTCATGAGTAAGTTTACAGATGGCACCATCTGCAAGAAGTGCAGGGCAGGAGTGTTGATCTATAGAGGGGTCTGGACAGGCTGGATTGGTAGGTTGAGGCCAATGATATAAGGTTGAACAAGGCCAAGTGCCAAGTCCTGCACTTGGATCACAACAACCCCAGGCAGCGCTACAGGCTGGGGACAGAGTGGCTGGAAATTTGCCCAGTGGAAAAGGACCTGGGCATGTTGGTTGACAGCAGCTGAACATGATCCAGCAGTGTAACCAGGTGGGCAAGAACGCCAGTGGCATCCTGGCTTGGATCAGCAATAGTGTGGCCAGTGCAACCAGGGCAGTGACTGTCCCCCTGACTGGGCACTGGGTACCTCAAATCCCATGTGCAGTTTCAGGCCCCTCACTCCAAGAAAGACATGGACATGCTGGAGTGTGTCCAGACAAGAGCAATAGAGCTGGTGAAGGGTCTAGAGCACAAGTCCTGTGAGGAGCTGCTGAGGGAGCTGAGGGAGCTGGAGTTGGTTAGCCTGGAGAAGAGGAGGCTCAGGGGTGACCTTGTCACTCTCTACAGCTACCTGAAAGGACATTGTGACCTGGTGGTGTTCAGTCTCTTCTCCTGGGTAGCAAGTGATGGGATAAGAGCAAATGGCCTGAACCTGTGCTAGGGGAGGCTTGGATTGTATATTAGGAAAAATTTTTTCGTGGAAAGGGTTGTCAAGCATTCGACCAGGCTACCCAGGGAACTGGTGGAGTCACAATCCCTGGAGGTATTTAAGAGATATGTAGTTGTAGCATTTGGGGACATGGTGGTGGACTTGGCAGTGCTGGGTTAACAGTTGAACTCAAATGATTTTAAAGGTCTTTTCCAATCTAAACTATTCTATGATTCTATGGTTGCATTATTTCAAATACTGGTGTAGTCCTATTGTCACTAGTAGCAATAGGTAGACATTTCAAAGGATAAGAGAGAAAATTTGCTTATACTATAATTTCACTCTGAAGTCTATTCTGTGTGGAGCAATCTATCACTGGAGCAGCTGAAGAAATGCAAAAGCATTTTGTAAGTTTGATGAAAAAGTGTAGAAATCATCCAAAATTGTCTCCAAGGCATCCCTCTCCATCTTCTCCTTTCTCCTGACTTGTAGGTCTGGATTCACAGGTTACTACTTTAGGGTAAATGAAACAGTGTAAAGGAGTTGTAGGCACTTCTCCAGGGCTAAATGGTCCCTGGCATCATGGTGGCCAGGCCAGCAGGACTGCTGTCAAACCCTTCTTGTTCTGGGGTTGACCAAGGAGTGGATCTCTCTGGTAGGCAGCTTGGATCCAGCCACCTCATTTTGGAGATGAAAGTGGTTGAAAGGTATGGACACAAGTCATTGTGGACCACCACTCAGCTTCAGCAATGGTGAATAGTCCCCAGCAAATTTGCTGAAATAGATGCAACCATTGTGAAAGTGTTTCTGTGGATTTGGGAGCAAAACTGTGCCTAATCTGCATGCACTGTGGCTGTACCATCACCATCAGTCTTACTCTATCATCAATAGATCAACACAATAGACAGTGATGCTTTCAGTTGTTTTTTTTAATTGAACAATAATAATCTTACGTTTTTTAAAACCAACCAGCTTATTAGATTTACATTCAAGAACTCATAATGTCATTTATGACACTTGCAAAATATTAATAATGTATGCAATATTTACTATGTTCTTTAAATAATTGTCATCATCTGCTCAAGGACTGTGGATTTGATCCTGCTCTCACTGAAATCAAAAAAAAAATTACTTTTGATATCAGTAAATGAGAATCAATACACTTGCTTGTAAATAGCCCAAGATAAAATTGCTCCCTCTCAGACCCTAACATTCAACACAAGTTGAAATGTGGTATATGTGGTATTTTGAAATTTACATTCACATGTCTCCAATTATCATGGCAGGAGAGCCTGCACTGCTGTACTGATGTCTGGATGTCTGTTGTTGTCATCATCCTCTTGTTGTAGAGCAGCAAGACTCATCTCTGCTTTCCCTGGTGAAAGCATCCTGCTTCCACAGCTGTTGGCCTTGGATCAACTCTTCAAAAGTTTCTGTTGTTCCTAGTTTAAAAGTATGTTTTCAGATCCTGAACTAAATTTTGACTGCTGAACTATGTGTTCCTTGATTTACTGAAGTCATTGTCAAAGCTCACACCAATTTCAAAGGAATTATTCAATTCAAGCCAGATTTCCAGTGGGAGTGCTCTGCGTTTCAAAGCAATTTCTAAACTCACACAATCCAGGTTCATTGACACAGCTACACCAATTTCTATTATCTGAGTACCTGGTTGTTTCCAGACATATTAGCAAATCCACCTCAGTGGTGATTTTCGACTTACACATATATCATCCATCCTGTTTGAACTGAATGAGGGACTGCCAATTCTGCAACACACTAACACATATAAGTTATTCTCCTGGCTGAAACAGGACAGCTTGCTCATGCAATTGAGACACGAAGTACTGGATACCAAAATACTGTAGTCTTGGCTGAACTACTACTTGTTGAGGGTCTAAGTCTTCCCTACACTGGATCAAATCAACTCCTTGTGAATCAGATCTGGGCTGTAGCTGACAATCAAGGTGGAAAGTATAAAGGTCCATTTGCTGACCTCTTGCATTGGACCCACTCTTCTCCAAAAAATGCAGATGTCATCTTAATGGCACCAGTTAGTTGGTTTATAGAAACATATATATTTAAATAATGGTAAGCAGCTTCTTTTGTTTCAGATCCCCTTTTACAAATCAGTAGAATTTACCAATCTGCTGTTTCTCTGTACAAAATTTAGCTTCAGAAATCCACCTAAATACAATATATGTCTGCAGTGTTTTGCCTAAGTTATTCATAATGTATAAACTGAAGTGCTGGGTCTATTCTCACTGAAGAAAGGCATATTTATCTCCAAGTAATTGTCACCAAGCTTCCAAAACCCAGAAAATTACTAGCAACTAATGTTGGTTAATTTAATCACACTGTTGTTCTCCCATGTTATTATTATTGAGATTCAGAGATGTTGCTTTCTGTCCTGGGATTTGTTTCTTTCATATTGGCTCCATGTCAATAGTATCACTCACCCAAACTGTCCCCTGATTTCAGTGAGAGCTTTCCCAGCCTCAGGCTGTAGGAGTTGGCCTCTGGCATTATTTAAATGATCATGTTGGGTTTTCAGTTTTACTATACATTCAAGAATCCACAATATGTTTCTGTTCAAATACTTATCAAAACAAATATCAAAAATCATATACACTGTACAGTCTATTTTAAAGTAAACATTTTTCTCATTAAAAACAGATCACAATTGACCTTCAGAGATTACATTTTCATATGCTATAGATCTACTTTGTTCTTAAAGTGTGTTGTTGCATATTCATTAATCTGTGAGAAATGCATTCACTTGAAAGTCTTACAAGTGTAAGCAAGTATCAGCGAGGATTTAGCCATTTCATTATCGGAGGGCGAATAGCTTTCTCTTTAACAAATTCCTCTTTTACAGAATTTCCATCCCCTGATGCCATGTCATTGTCTGAAAAGATACAAAAATAAAGGTGGATTTCACAAACATAAGAGCATTAAAATATTGTTCAGCAATGTCCCTCTTTTTTGGAATACTTCAGAAAAACCTTACCTGGCAAATTTGCAGATATCTCCCTAAATGCCTCCAATTATCTAGTTGCAAAATTTCTGCCAAATTAAGACATAAGTCAGATGTGTTTTCTAATAGTTTAAGCATGAGGCTGATGATGTGACTTCAGTTTCCAGTTCTGACTGTAACACTTGCTCCAGTGTGACACGGGACTAAGCAACGTATCCTCAATAGCTACAGCAGCAAATTAAACACCTGGAGCTATTCTCTGAGTACAACCAGCTAGCATGGAATAGCCTGGTGCATGCTGCGAAACTCTCTCACTCTCCAAAAATAGGATAAAATGATATCTAGTTTGTCAACTGGAAACAGTCTCTGGCTGAGCCTGATTCCTGAGCTGTGGCTGAGGTTGTTTGGCACAGCTAGCTGGGCTGGGACAAAGCATGCCATCAGTTGCCCTACTGTTTGACTCTGCAGGGGTCAAATTGCAATGCACAAGAACACACTCTGACACCTTTCATTTTACTAGGATATGTGTACCCATAATGTTTTTATAAAACATATGGGTCAGAAACTTACCTGTTTAAAATACAGAAGCATTTGCAGTTGTTTTAATACAGTGAACATCTCATAGATGCCTTAGCTACCTCTGAAGGCCATTATTAAATGAAACTCTGTGTGACCACCCCATGGAGTACCACCCAGTGTCTTCTGTCTGCTTCCAGTGACCTCTGGAAGGACAGAAGTCAGTATGAAACCTTTGCAGGTGTAAAAACCAATCTTTGTTTCTATGTGGTAAATATCTCATCATGGCTGTGATCAGACAAGCTGTTAAATTTAGGGGCAGCAGGTGGTTTGGGACCAAAGGCAAGGGCGAAAGAGGGAAGGGGAGGAGGAACCAATGAAAATAAGGCTGCCTGGGAAGATTTCAAATATGGGCTAGATACAGACAAATATGATTTTAAATGTGATATAAGCGTAAGTTGAGAAAGTTTGCTTCCTTCTAACTTTCTCTAAACAGAGAAGGGGGGAAAGATAAATCATGTATTAAGGCAGCAAACTTTAGCTAGCTTAATATAACAGGAGTAAAAATAAGGCACACAAACTGCAGTTGGAAAAGAAATAAAATCCAAAGACCTTTGGGTGAAGTCTTATAAATCTCCCAATAGTTCTAGGATTAAGTCTCTGATTTTTTAATTTTTTTTTTAACTTCTCTTCACATTTGTGTTGACTTTGGTTTGTGTTTATATTTGAAGTAAACATTATTCAGTCAAACATACCTCAGTATCATCAGGTGGAAAATAAGGGGAAAATTTTTAATGCCAGATCTAAACACATCAGTGATCTTTCCTCCCCACCTCAAAATCACTTTAGTTTCTCACATTCCTTTTTCTTTTCTTTTTTTTTTCTTTTTTTTTTTTTTTTTTTTTAAATTCTGGAAAGATCTGTTAGAAGCTTCAAACATAATTGTAAAGGTAAGAACTTATTCCAGAGATACTGTGACAAATGACTACAATAGAACTTTTCATAAAACTGTTCACTGACAACTGAAAACATATAAAGTTCTGTCTTCATGGGGGAAGAAAAATGTTGGTTTTACCATGTTAGCTAGCAGTAGCAAATACAATGTAGTGAAATACTATTCTACACAAAACAGCTACGTTATCACGTCTGAACTGACTAATGCAAACCCTAGCCTCCAATTGCACAGATGATGTTGTAGTGTTGACACATGCAAGAGCTACAAAGTATTTTGCCCATGTTTAAGATTCCAAAATGTTTTTATGATGTGTCACAGATGATCTAAGTCCTTGCCACATGTTAAGTGAGCTGCCAATAAGAAAAATTAACGTACCTTGTGCTGTGAGTGTTTTGCACAGCTCCACCAAAGTACGCATCACTCACACACAGCATACACAGCATGGTAGTAGATCATGGACAAGATGTTTTCTGCTAAAATCAACTGCCCCACAAAGTCTTACCTGCGTGTGAAATTATTTTTCGTCGATTGGGAGGCTTTGAAGCAGACAGTTGAAAAAATGGGAACTTCAAACACTTCCCTGTTACTCTGTCACAGATGCCAGAAGGACAGTTGCATGTTTTCCTGCATTCCATTCCATAGCTACCATAGGGACACTCTGGAAAAAAAATTATAGCAAAGTGGTTCTCAGTGATCCAAGTCAGCAGCTGTGTTGATAGCTGGCCTGCTTATGTCCTTGAAAGTGGAAAACCTTTGAGTGGAGGTCAGCTAAACCCTAGCTACAAGATTTCAGCATGCTGACTGCTTTTTACAAGTATTTTCCAGTATTAACTAACCTTGACACACATTATATAAATAATTTTGTTTCCTCTAACTTATTTAAAAAACGTCCTATGAGTAATCCTTCTCTGAAACACTCTTAGTATTAAAATTCAAGTTAAAAGCAATATACAATATATAAGTACATAATAATAGAGGATGCAGTCAAAATTGGACTAGCATTGGATTTAGAAATTAAGAATTAGAAATGAAGATGACTCCAGAAAGTCCCTGAATTTACTCTTGGGCATGGTATTATCTGACTTATGTAACTGTCATGACTTAGAGCTGCAATCTGTTGCTGGTACTGGACTACTGTTGCCAGGGCCTCTGCCTTCTCTCTGGGTGGAGGATGCAACCTGACCCTGAGGAGCTATCCAGCAAATGCACTCTCTGTCTGTAGATGCTACTGGCTCCTGGGGAAGAGCCTTCTTCTATCCAACAGCTTCTCAGACAGCAAAGGTCTGTTTTACCATGGCAGACAGGCAGGAGCTCACTTATGTCTCCAGCCATACCCTGAGTATCCTCGAAGGGATCAGTGGCACTGGGACGACTCCTTGGTTGTACTGCAATGGTCAAAGCCCCAGTTCAAACCTCCCATCCTTGAGCAAGCTTGTGGAGAAGCACCAAAGAACAGCTGCTAAGATGGGACTGAATGTTTTCCAAAGAAAATTAAGTCAGATACGGGGGATTTGCCCTGTCCCGTAGCTGACACATATCGCTTGTTGGATTGCATAACTTCCCAGAGTTTAAACTAGGGATCACAGCTCTTGTCTTCCTTTGCCTTGCTGTTGAAGAGGGTACCATCCCAGGACCATTGCTGAAAAGATGGAGCCAAGAAAAATCCATGTCCAACATGTCCTTTCCAAACCCCCAAACGTGAGATCATTCCCAAGAGAAGTTTGAGATATCCCAGGAGAAAGGTCTTTATGTTCAGACTATCCTTACCAACACAGGCTACATGGTCACCTTAAATGGCAAGATCTAGAGAGTTTTGGATTCACCTCCTAAGCACGGATGAATGACCAGTAAAGGGCTGCACCAAGGAACCATCTAGCCCAGGCTTCCATAAAAACCTTAAGAAAGGTGACCATAATATGCAAAAATGATACCTCTCCCTCATTTTGTCTCCCACTTTCAGCTCTGGGGCCTCCTGATCCAAACATAGTTTCTGTGCATGTATCACCTTGCAATAGGGTTGTCCTTCTCAGTTTGTCCAGTCCTCTTAAGTCAGTGCAAATATTTAGTTTTCCTATGCAGCCTGGGCAATCTGAAAAACAGTCTAATGCCCTAAAGTGAAACCAAAATTTTACAATTCTCTGCAAATATAACAGGTATGTTTTATAAAGGAAAAGCCCTAGAAAATCAACCAGTTCCTTTAAACTGACTACACAGTGAATCCCTCCAACTTGGAAAACCATATTGAGCTTCAACATACACCCCTTCCCAAGAAGGACACTCTTTGAGCTGCTGCTTGATCACATAAAACTAAACCATAATCCTGCTGAAGTGAAACAAGTTTTGTGTGCACATCCTCCCTGGCAGACAAGTGAAGAGCTCACACTACATGGAGCATCAATCTGCCTGCTGCAGGTACTCAGCCTGGAGAGCTGGGATGTAAAGCTGTGCGCAACAACATGGTAACAAGACTGAGCCCAAAGCACTTGGCTCTGTGTGGAAAAATCCTGGCATTGATGCTGCTCTTCATATTTGATGACACTCAGGTCTGAGTCAATTTTACAACTAGAAGGTTTTGTTTGGCAGTAGCCTGCTCCTAAATGTGTTGCTAATAGCTCCCAGTGATTTAAGGGAAGCAAGAGCACTAGTATTCCTTTAGTCTGTTTTGGACAAGAATGACATTGTTATTGACAATAATGTGATGCACTCTTATAGTAATAAAAGTAACCAAAAATTGTTCTGAAACATATACTACCCATTTTAGAAAAAAAGAAATTTAAGAACAGAGAGTTCAGATCAACTTTTCAGAACGTCAAAGTAAAATATTTGCAGGAAGCTAGAGAGAATTTAGCTATCCTGAGTCTATCATTTACTACAAACATAGAAATTCTTAAAATGAGTGAATGACCTGGTATCATAGCTGTAAATGCATATATAAAATAATAATACTTGGCCCAATACTTTGCCTAATCAAATTCTCATATGTACAGAGAAAGGTTGTGCTACCTCAGAGCTTAGGTAAAAAAAAAATAATTAAAAATTATATCTATAATATTTAGTACAAATAAATATATGGGGAATATAAGATTTAAAGACAAATTTACAATTCTAAGTCAAGATATGGTTTTATTGAAATTTATAAGAGTTTTTCCACTGACTGAATGAAAGAAAACCCCAAACATTTTACTTTGTATTTTCTCCAGAGTATCCAAGATTCAGCTATGGGGATTCAGATCTCATGTCCCTCAATATTTCTTTTTTCCTATTCAAAGTGTACTATTGCAAAGAAATTCCTGTAAGGAAACTGAAAAGTATATACTAAATCCAAGGAACTGTTAAAAGAATTATAGGCAGGGTCTTGCACTGTGGTAACTTTTAATAAACTGAAGATCAACCAACTATCTCAGTAACATACTTTTCTCATGAATGCACAAAAAATATGATCTTTATGCCTAAGTTCTAGTCTTAAGAACTAAAATTAGTATTTGGGTTTGACACTCAACCATACACATGAATTTGGTTTTAGAAACTGTGTTTTTAAATACTGTAAGTGTGTTCTATATGTGAGTCAGCCTGAATGATTTCTGCAGCATCTGGTCCTAAGGCATTACTTTAACTGAGTTTACTAATACTCCTGTTATTTAACTGCCAAGACATCTCCCCTTTTAAAGAAGTTATTCTAAGGCTTATCTGTATTTACTTACTGAAGTGGCACACAAACACAGGAAAACCCACTGCATTCATGCTTTGCGAACTCTTTTTAAAAAATAGTTTATTTTTTAAAATTATCATCATACTTATTAGCATAATACCTCCTCTCCTTTTAAATATTCTGGATGTTGCATGGAGCGACAATAGATCTTAAACGAAAACCACCATTTTAGTCTCTGACTAAAGAATTTAGCATGCAGCATACCTGGAATAAGATGAAAGCAGTGGCTGGCTGCACATCTCACAGTCAGTTTCTGTTCTGTTATTCCCATCTTTCAGGGAGGAGGGTCACTGTTTGCCTCCCCTGACCCTAGGGTAGTTGAGCCTCTCAACAGCAGGACTAAATTAAACACAGCAATGTCCCCGAGGAACTCAGGCAGTGCTGGTTATCTCCATCTCCCAGACCTCAGAGTGAGCACCTGGTCCCTGGGCATGCAGCTGGCAGTGCCAGAGGGAACATCACCCACAGAGAATGCAGCAGGGGTAGGAACCCTGTAGCAAGGTTGGACTTGCAGGATTAAAGTCTTTGCAATTTAAAGAAAGCCACCCACCAAATCAGTGGAAACATCAGGACTAGTGCCTGGGTCTCCCAAGTTCCAGTCAAAAATCTTATCTCTGAGCACACTCTGTTTCCTCACACATGTCCCCAAGTCTAAACAATATTCTCGCATTAATAACCCTGCCCCTCTACCTCTAACACTTTCTAATACCAGCAGCTATTTTTTACTTTCCAGAAAAATCCCACTTTAGACCTTTCAAGCAGGAGGCAAGCTCACAGGTAGGTTTCTGTCAAATCACCACAGTGGGTGCATGCAAAGTGAATACTGTTACCTTTGCAGATACCAAATTCATCACCAAAGTCATCCTCCTCAGTGTAAAACTGGCACTTCAGCCCAGGGCCACACTTGACACCATCCATACCCGAGACTGTACGATAGCAAGTCTCCCCCAGAGCAGCTGCACAGACTCTGCAGCAGCCACAGTCATCCAGCACCGTTCGCTTACAGCGGAAGGTACTTTTGCATGCGTTACTGTCACAGGGCTCAGGACAATCTACTGCATATTTTGCACTCCAAGCAGTTCCAGCATGCACGGGCATCAGGAGGAGTGTGAGAAACAGGAAGCCCTTCATGTCTTGCAGGGGTAAATGCTCCGTCCCAAAGAGCAGGTTTTAGTGCTCAGCCTGCTGGTGCCTCTTGCTGAGGGAAACAGCAGTACAGAATCCAAAGTGGTAGCTGCACACATCAGCCTACAAGTTTATGAGCTTTATAAAGTGTGTTGCCCACATGTTGCACCGTCGTCAGCTTCCTCAATCCGGCAGTGCTGCTCCTGCCAGCCTCCCTTGTTTCAGTTTATGAAATCCAGGATGAAGGTTGGATTAGCACTCTGCTGCCATCCAGGAATTGAAAAGCCTGAGCTGATGTAATCTGTTATGTTTAGTTGGTTGTTTTGCATGAGGACTAAAAACTCTCTCACATCCGTTTCAAATGCTCAAGGACGTCTGCCAAAACAAAAAAAAAAAAGAGAAAAAAAAAAGGAGGAAGATTTTTTTTAAAAAAAAAAAAGCACACACAGAAGTGGGGGGGGGTGGGGGGTGGGAATCAACCCTGAGTAGGTCACATACCTTCTTGCAGGACGGGGATTGCTCTGATGCTGGGCACACTGCTGACAGGAGATCGCTGCCTTGCTATCATAGCTCATATGGCCAGAAGAAAATCACATTGAATCACTTCACTGCTGAAAGAATAACCTTTAATAGAATAAATCTTTGCCATACCCTCTTAGGTGACGTGGATAGTTACTTTAAGGAATTAAGTGAGATCATGTTGTTTAGCAGCCAAGCTCAGATATTTCAGTAGTTTTTTCTGCCTCCATCGAAATAGCACTTTTTAACCAGTATTTAGGTGGAGATTAATTAAACATTTCACTCAAAGATCACTGCTAGAATGAAAAACTGGTCAGGAAGAAATCAGTATTTTGTGGGATCTTCCACAGGAAGTTCAGGAGAATGATCAGTGAGCTGCACCAACTTCACAGCCACAGGGGAAATCCCCATCCATCTTCAGCACCATCCACACAGTCTTAGCATTTATCCGGGGGGGTGATTCTTCCCCACTTTATGCCACTTCTATTCTGACACACTCTGTGAGATGTCCTGATGTTGCTCTTCAATGAAATCAATGTAAATAAACAGAAAACAGGTCTCAATTTCCCCTGTCTCCTCTCTTAGTCTTTATTCATCCTGACAGAGCCTTGACAAGGAACAGCAAACAACTGAAGCGTCCAGTGAAACTGATGAGCCACTGAAGATATGACAATTTCTACACTAAGGAAAAATCTACAGGAAAGGAAAAAAGGAATAAAGCTAGCCATAAATAAACCTCTGAATACCAGAAGTTGTTGCCTGGGAAGTCAGTGGGAACTGAAGCAAACTGAACTGTGTGTGACCAGCTTGCCCTTTGGGAATCCTGTGTCTCAATTGGGCTAAAGACACTGCCAGTAGGCTGCCAAATAAAATGAATGATTCTGCTGGAAATACAGGAGAGCAGGAGAACCTTCCCAAATGCAAATGTTAATTGATAAAAAGAAAACAAAATGCTTAACTCTTCTCTCTTGTGGAGAAGGTGAGGAAAACCAACATATTGTTGTTTTTTTATACTCTTGTACACTTCTGGTATGTGGGGAGGGAAGGAGAGGGGAGGAGAGGGAGGGATTTAGCACTTGTCAAAGGGAGATGACACTTGGTGAAACATTTGCAGCCATCCATCCTATACAGTATATAATCACATGAAATGCAGTTCTTTTAATCCCATTTGCCTCTTGGCATATGTTTATGTGCACAAGATTGTGCACATATATTCACATGTATTCTCACACTTCACAAGTATTCTTGGAGCAATTAATGAACCTGAAGTGTAAAAACTAAAGCATTAGGTTGAGGTTTTGTATAAACCAAGAAAGTGCTATTGGTAGCCATGAGATGACAGCAATTAGCAGTAGTAGGACAGCTTCATCTTCAAAGCACAAAGCAACTATCCTCTGAGAAGTGAAAGGAACACTTCAGATATGGTAATGAACATTGCAGCTAAAACCAGAGGAGGAACAAAAGTATAAGGTTAAAATGAGCAGATGAATTAGAAATTTATCTCAAATCTCCTCCACAGTTCACAGATCAGCCAAAAAATGTAAATTGCTGCCCATGTCTGCTGGCATAACATCAACTAAAATTAACATTGGTTTATACTAATAGGTCAGACTGTAACCTGTGGGACTGAGGAGCCAGTGTAAATCCCTCTGGGCAGTTCCTCAGTGGAGGAGAGATGCCCTAGCATCCTCAGTCAGAGGTACAGGGAGTACGGCTGAAGCCAGTCACCATTTCAACACCCCAGATAAAACTACTAACAAGGGTGAAATAGCCCAAAGAAGCAGGTTGCAGACAGTGTATGAAACTTCAAGGAGTAGGAAGACTCGGTCTTAAATTAATTCACCTGCACTTCAATTCATACCTGCTTGCTAACTTAGAGGAGACAACAGAGGAGTGTGCAGACCCATCCACAAATGCTTTTAGGCATTTATGCCTGGTAGTAACCACTAGTTGGTAAAATCCTATTCTGTAAATATGTAGATAAAATGTTCCTTGTATAAAACATCAAACAAGATCTGAAAGGGCTATATTTCACATTTGGATTTTTCACAGGAAAAATGTCCTAGTGAGATGATAAATAGAAAAATTACAGACAGATGTGGTGAGGAAAAGCAATTGTAAAAGAATCAGCACACTCCCCTAGCAACTAGCCAATATTATTTGGAATAAGATGGAAACTGTATTCTGTGCTTGGAGCTAGAAGCCAAAGCAAATTATTACAATAGATTAAAAAATACATGTAATGGAAGAAAACAATATGAGTTTTGTTTTCTGGCTTATGTATGAGTATCATGGAGGAAATAATGATACTATGATCTTCCACACTGTCCACTGATTAAGTAGGGAAATAAATCCAATGTCACTCTCTATGGTTTTAATGTTTCTCTGTTGTTTCACCTGTTGAATCCATTAGACTTTTCTTTCTAATGAAAAGCTTGATCTTGTAAAGCCCTGAACTAAGCTCTCCCTTGAAAACTGATGCAATGGGATTTAATGAAGCTTCTCTAACTATTAACAGCACAAAATTTGCCACCATTATTTAACTTGTGGTATAAATACACATTAAATGTGGAATATCTTCTGGATCAGATCAGAGGTTTGGTTTTTTTCTAATTTTACAGTATTAATTGTCTTGGTGCCAGCTTGCATCATAATTACATCATCATGTATAATGTTTGGCATTCCTTCTAGAAGCAAAAAAGTTTCAACCCTTGGGTTCAATGCTTTACAGGGAACCAAACAATCTAGTGTCAGTAAGCTGTGTTTCCAGCTGAAGCACTATTTTTCTAGTTCTTTTGTAAATAATTTATTTCTCAAACAAAAGCAGCCTTTGAGATGGTCTTGAAGTTCTATTTAAGAATAGTCTGACCCCACTTGTTAAAAATCCCCATGGAATGATATACTTCATGATACATGATTGGTCTGTGCTGAAATATGGGAGCAATCTATTCATTAGATCAATAGGCTTTATTAGTTTTACTCTTTAGACAGCAAAATACTCACTTCAACTCTTCTGAATTCAAACATTCTGGCCACTGTCGCTATCCAGTCTTTGGAATACATAAAGTTGGGATAAGTAGGAAGAACTAATATCTCTTTAAACATAGGAAAATGTTTAAAGCATGACCCTTGTTGCTCATTTCCAAAAGGCAGTCCCTAAACTAAAAATATGTAACCCCACATTCCTGAAAGATCCAACCTTTTCCCAGGCTTCCTTTACAAAAAACCATAAGCACAATGCTATATGAGAGACAAAAATTCAAAGGGAAACACCAAAAGGAAACTGAGCTGCAAAGTCCAAAATGAAAAGCCAGAAATAGGAAGTAAGATATAAGAATCAGGAAAGTGAGACAGCAGCAAGGACTCCCCTTTGTATGATTTCTTTTCTTGTATCTTTTCAATGAATTGCTAATTACTCTTTGTTTCAGCTGTAACACAGCAACTCAGCTTCACTCTGGTAAAAATAGATGCTTTGGGACATTTCCCACTTGTTGAAGGCAAGAGGTGTTTACATGCTTTCTCCAGGCAGACCAGATGCTATGCAGAGAACTGGGTGAGCTGGTTACATCTGCACAAACTGCAGGAACTATTTTAGAAATTACTGGATATGGTGGGGTTATCTGCAGAGAGCCTCAGGAATGAAAACCACAGCTTGTTTGGAGCATATTAAAAATATACTTGCCCATAGGTGACATGCAAATATGTGGCATGTCCAGCCTGGGTGCTGCTAGCCAAACTTACTGCACATAATTTCTGCTCTGAGTTTCTTCCTCCAAACCTACAACCATGCAGATGGAGCTGGGTCCTGTCAGATCTGTGCTGCTTACTGAGTCCATGCGTCACAGTCCTTTTCCTCAGTGGGTTCCAGTCATGGCCTGGCTCTGACTGCAGGATCTCTGCCCTGTGTCATCCTTACATAGAGTGGCTATTTCCAGTGATTTTACAACCACCATAATAATCTGCATAGCAGAAGTCACTGGCTTTTTTTTTTTATCAATAGAGTCAAATAGTTCTGCTGTGTTTGGAGAAGGTGTTCAAAAGGCAAAAATTATCACAGAGCAGTGGAAAAGTTCTACTACATGGCAGAGGGGTCAATTTTCTCCATGGCAAGCAAGTCTGGATTTGTCATACACAGTAAATAGGTAGATGATATAAGCAGGGGAAAATTATGAAAAAATGGGTTGTGATTCTATTATGCTGAAATCTTTTTCTTTAATACTTTCAAGTCATCTAAATTTACAGAGGAATAAAGGAGTTTCAGTGCCCAAGAACTTCAATGTCTGTACCAGAGAGTTTCTTAACAGTATGAGACAGTCACATACCTTTTCTATACTTCAGAAAATTTTCTTCTCTGAATACAATGCTTAACTTGACTGATCATTCACAGTCCAAAACCCTGCCTTCACACCCCCTACCTTATCAATATTTTGTCAGGAACTGTTTCTTTTGTGGCACCTCTTGATCCTAGAAATCTAAATCACCCCGATTAAGCCATATGTACACTTAGGGGGAAAAAAAAGCCTTTCCACACAGAAAAACACCTTTTCAGGACTGATTTTCAAACATTCAGTTTCTTCATCAATAAAAGAAAACAAGATGTGAATGATGGTTCTTTGCATGTTCTGCTTAAGTGGTCAGGTGCCCCTATGGCATGCAGCTTTAACGTAAGTTAATGCAAGTGATATTTTGTCTCTCACTATTTGACTTAATAAACTGATATAGGAATACACACTTATTTCTCTAGTCATGAAGCCTATGCTCTCAGCAGTTCTCCGCAGAACTAGAATAAAACATACTGGACTTGAACGAGTGTTTTTGTCAGTTTTATCAGGACATAAACAATAACACAACAGTTAACAACATGACAACTACAGAGTGAATTTTATCCTTTCCCTACTCAGTCCAAATGGTAATTGTACTCTGACTCTACCAGTCCTTGATAACTAAGCCAAATTCCCACTTAAGAAATGTTTGTTCTTGGTACCTGTGCAGAATATCAAAGTGCACTATTTTGTTTTGAATTCCTAGGTATAGATTTTAGAAT